GAAAAGCGTGTACGTGGAAAACGAGAAAGAGAGGCTGGGAAAAAGGTGCCGAACACTTGTAACACTTGGTTCTGCCTTTTTTAACGCCCAGACCCATCAGAAAGCACTCTCGCTCGCTATTAGTTTCTTATCAGTAAAATCCACAGAGAGATGCAATATATACCCCCTTCGTCCCTAAATATTTAACGCCGTTGTTTTTTTTAAATATGTTTAACTATTCGTCTTATTCAAAAACTTTTGTAAAATATATAAAAATATATTTATACATAACAATATATTTAACAATGAATCAAATGATAGGAAAATAATTAATAATTACTTAAATTTTTAAATAAGACGAATGGTCAAACATGTTTAAAAAAATCAACAGCGTTAAATATTTAGGGACGTTGGAGGTTCATCTATAAGTGTAGCTGGCTACGAAGACGTACCATACATGGTTCTTAGCTTGATCTACAAACCAAGCAGACATGCACACTCATGTGAGAGTCTCACCCGCGCTAGTATCCCAAAACTAAAAATCCACATAGGTACACACTCCCTCCGTTTTTTAATTTTTAACACCGTTCATTTTTTTAGCACATGTTTGACTGTTCGTCTTATTAAAAAACTTTTATGAAATATGTAAAACTATATGTATACATATAAGTATATTAACAATGAATCAAATTATAGAAAAAGAATTAATAATTACTTAAACTTTTGAATAATAAGATGAACGGTCAAATCTATAACTAATATAAATATTCGTATTTTTTAATTCATCACATCTAATTTTCGTCTATTTTTCGTCCATACAAGATCCGAGTTGGTTAGCAATAGCGATAGAAAAAATTGCAAAAAAAAAAAAGAACGGCGGCCGCCGACGCCACCACCGCCGCCGGAGGGAGAAGAGAGGTGGCGGAGGGAGCCATCCGGCAGCGGCGGCTCTACCCGCGGACGCCGCAGACGCCGCCGTCGCCGTCGACGTTGCCGTAGGGACGGCCGTCGCTGAGGGAGCGCGGACGCCGACGATGCCGGAGGGGAGGGGAGTGGAAGCGGCGTCGGTGGGGAGAGGGGGAGGGAGAGAGGCGGTGTCGGGGGCGGGGGAGGCGGCCGGCTTGGCTGGGAGATGGGAGGGAGAGGGGGAGAAGGAGCGGCGGCGCTGCCGGAGGGGAGGGGAGTGGAAGCGGCGTTGGTGGGGAGAGGGGGAGGGGGAGAGGCGGTGTCGGGGGCGGGGGAGGCGGCCGGTGAGATGGGAGGGAGAGGGGGAGAAGGAGCGGCGGCGCTGCCGGAGGAGAGAGGAGTGGAAGCGGCGTCGGTGGGGAGAGGGGGAGGGGGAGAGGCGGCGTCGGTGGCGGGGGAGGCGGCCGGCTTGGCTGGGGGGAGGGGGCCGCCGGAGGGGAGCAGGAAAAGTGGCGTCGGGGGTGGGGGAGGCGGGCGGCTCGGCTGGGTGGAGGGGGAGGGGGAGGGTTAGGGTTTTCATCACTTTGGAACTAATCTAAGCCGTGCATCAAAACGAATGGCTCAAATCGATCGAGCATTGGGCCGCACCACTTGGGCCGCACGCGGGCCGGCAGTCCAGGAAGCGTGAGGAAGAGTATAGGGATATAAATTAGACTTTGGTTGCTTGCGGGCTGAAGAAGAAAGTGGGCTGAAAAAGGCCCATAGAGATAAAAGGATAAATGCTAAAATGATGTTTGTATTATCAAAATTAGCAATTAAGCTACTAAATTCCAAGAAAATTTCAATGAATGTAATTAATAACATAGAAAATTTAATAAAAATTAAATCCAACTATAACATTTTATTTCTCACACTTACTTTACTTATAAATTAATTTAATTATATATCTAACTACTTAAAAAACCCAAATATTTCCAACCATAACATTTTATTTTTCACACTTACTTTGCTTATAAATTAATTTAAATATATACCTACCTACTTAAAAAATACCCAAATATTTTAGAAAATTTGTATTTCATTTAATTATAATTTAATGTGTTTTAATTTTATCTTTTTGTCTTTCCGTTGCAACGCACGACCACTTTTGATATAATTTCAAAGAGTGTAATTAATATTGAAGCAAATTTATATTTCATTAAATTAGAATTTAATATGTTTTAATTCAATTTTCTCATTTTTCCTTTCGCGATGCGAGCTAAGCAAGAATATTTTTATCCATCTTGATTATCATTAGCGCAATGAATAATTTACCTATCTTGGAATATTATTATATACATATTAACGGTGTACTTTATAGAATTTAACCGTTCCTTTACCCGTAGCGAATTCGCTACGGGCATTTTGCTAGTATATTTAAAAAAGCTAACGACGTTAAATATTTAGAAACGGAGGGAGTATATTAGCAAGTCTGATATGGATCGGGAGGCATCGGTAACACAATGCGTACAGTGACGAAGCTTAACTCCCGTCATCTGCTCTATGGTGTGTGCACCTGGGCGGCTGTGCTTGACGCCCAGAGTTTTTTTTTTTTTTTGAATGGAGGGCAAAAGTTTTGGGACGTGCCTAAGGACCGGTCGCCCGATCCGGGGCGGGGGAAATCGAACGCTGTCGTCATGCTGACGTCAGTGTCAGATTTACGTGTAAAACTATTTTAAACTGATTTTTCTCTTAAATTACTTATCCAAATCATAATCCGATTGCACCATTAAATTGCAATTAAATCTTCAAAACAAGACCACACATGGATATATTCCCAACGAAAAAAAATTAGCTTATTATTGAATTTTTTTTAATATTATATGATGTTCCACCAGGTATATCGGAATTGTTTCACTAAGTAGAGCGAAAATGTTTCCCTCGTTTAAATCGGGTGTTGTTTCACCTTATATAAAAACAATGTTTCAGCAAATAGCGAAATAATGTTTCAGTTCACTGCAACATTAGATCTATACATAGTGAAACATTGTGAGTACACTAGGTGAAACATTTTTCGGTGGAACAGAAAATAAACCAAATTTCCTTAATATGGGGTTTTCAAAATATGTGGATTTTTTGTTGCAATGGAATGTTTCGTTCACTGCAATATTACATCTATACATAATGAAACATTGTGAGTACACTAGGTGAAACATTTTTGGTAGAACAAAAAATAAACCAAATTTCCTTAATAGAGAATTTTCAAAATATGTGGGTTTTTTTTTTCAAAAGAGTATTTTAATTCAATGCAATATTGAATATATAAATAGTGAAATATTGTAGGTACACTAGGTGAAACATCTTTTGTGGAAAAAAGTGGAGAGAGAAGTAGATGGGCACAACGGTATGGACGTGGGGGAGGGGCGTGCGGGGGGGAGCGTCCGATCCGGCTCCCCCGCGTCCGGCGCTCGGTAACGAGCATTATGGAAAGTTTTGCCTCTTATACTATATAAAAGGTAAACAAAATGATGTACAGGTCTGTCAAAAAAAATATAAGACCGGAAACTCGACGCTCAGAGATTTTGGTTATCAAAATTCTTAGGCGGACACCTTGACGGATGGGTGGGAGATGCTCTGTAACCTTTCTCCAATAGCCAAGAGGAAGAAAATAATTGGAGATCTTCTCATAACCTAGTGGAAGTGGAATATATACCTAGAACGCAACCATCGGATTTTCCAGCAAACCTGTCAAACCGAGGCCCAAGTGGCTTTCGTTGCAAAGGAAAATGGGTTAATTAGATCTATGCCACTATAAATATGCCAAATTAGAAAAATGCCACTAATAGTCACGATATCGGTTGGGTGCCACTACAATTTCGGAAAATTGGTTCCATGCCACTTCATCGTGTTTCCCATCCACTCCCCGTTGGCACCGTCTCTCCGTGGCGCCACTTCGCATTTTCCCATGCGTGGACGACGCTGCCGCCGTCGCTCCACTCAGCGTTGCCGTCGACGACGCCATCGCGGAGATCGAAGGCAGTGGCGGCCGGGGCCCAGGTTCTGGATGCGCCCGTCGCTATGTGGGACGGGAACACAGGGGCCGATGGTGGCGGTAGCGCCGTCAATTGCACGAAGCTCCACACGTTGTCATCACTGCTGATGGTGCCGCCGTTGGCACGGGCGAGCAGCCTCGTGGTGACGGTGGAGTTGTAGGCGAGGCCGTCGGCTACCGAGGCGTCGGCGGCGGCAGCAACAAAGCGGAGCTGGTCGTCGAGCGAATCAGGGTTACCGTTGAGGTGCGACGCGACGAGGCAGTCCATCATGGCCTAGTCCGTGCGGTGGTGGTAGTGGAGCCGCAGATAGTCGGCGGCGGTGGTCGATGAGGCCTCATCGCAGCCGGTGCTCGGAGTAGACAAGAGCGCCGTGGCTGCCGCCGCACACCACACACGCCTTGCCCATGCCGTCTCCCTCGTCCTCTGCCTCCATGGCCACTCCATCCCTGTCCTCCATCCTCGCTCACCTCGCGGTGTGCCCCTCCGTCGCCAGCTTTCCGTGCCGATACACCTGCTGGCGCCGTATCCCGTGCCGCCGCCACTGTCCACCGCCTGCCGGAGCCTGGATTCCGGCCATGTTGCGTGGTTGGTCCTGGAGCCAGCGGCGGAGGAGGATGGCAAAGCGTTGCTGGATTTGGTGCCTGTTAGCAGCGTTAATGGAGGGGATGTCGCCAAGAACTTGCCGTAGCCGCTGTGGATCTTGGATTTGTCGCCGACACAGATGCACGAGGCGCAGCTGGGCTTGGTCGGGTCGAATTAGAGAACCGAGAGGAGGTGCCTCTTACATGTGGCTTGCCCCGCGGGGGAGATGAGAGGATGGTGGCGGAGACACCGGCGCTAGATACATGGTGGCGGTCATCGGCGTCGCCAAGCAAAGAGGAGAGGAGATGGAAGGAAGACAGGAGAAGACAGAAAGGAAGGAGATTTGGATACAAAACGTGACGGCAGTGATATGGTTAGTGGTACAACTACGAATGGATGAATTGTAATGTCATTTTTCTACGTAGACATATTTGAATGGCATGTATCCAATTAACGCTTACAACTATAGGTACCGGTTCTAACGTAGAACCGCTACATATGTCGATTATACCGCGGGCCGTCTCCCTCTTCCTCTTATCCCCCGAACCAACGCCACCCGCTCGCCCGCCACCGCCGCCGCCCTCGCCTGGATCTACCCGGCCCGCCGTCCCATTCACCACCGAGAGCCGTCGTCGTCGCCCCCCACCGTCGGCCCACATCTCCACCGCCACCGCGCTCCTCAGTCGCTCCAAGGCATCCTCCTCGCGTCGTCACTCGCCACCGCCCGCCGTCGGTCCTCCCGCCAGCGCCATCCACCACCGTCGGCGTCGTCGGCCCTACTCCGCAGCCGGCGACGCCCCCAAGATCTGCGCCGTCGCAACCTCGGCCCTTCTCCACCACCGCCGCCGCCCTCCTCCAACTCCGCCGCGGCTCTCCTCCAGCACCGCCGTGGACCTCCTCCGCCGCTGTGGTGTGTTCCCCTCTCCCCTCCCTATATGTAGACCTTGTCAGAGAGCAAAATATTGGTGCAATTTGTTGAAAATGAAATGCTAGCTAGGGATTATGATGCAATCTCTGAATGAAATTATTGTGCAATTTTGATATATTTGAGTTTGATGGGTATAGCAACCTCTGAAAATGAAATGCTATCTAGAGGTTGTGATAGCTAGGTGTATACTAGTATCGATTAGCTATGATGAATTGTTTGGCTATGTGGCCATGTGGAGTAACAGTAATATGCTTGCAAAGTGATGTTTTTAGTATGTTTTCAGAGTCCAAGGTACAGCTGTCTACAACACTGCTCTTAGCTCTTTGCTCAATTGGTTAGCTCAAAACTAATTTGCAATTAAATTGAACGATTTTACATGCCATCAGTAAACAGCACCACTCCATCCTTTCTCTCTTAGCTTCATTTTCAACAGACTAGCAAAAAAATTGAATAGTAATGATACATTTCCTATATTTCCAAAGAAAAACCTACCCCCTACTTCTCATCATTGGGGATTGTGACATAATCTTGGATCTGCTTCAGCAATGCATAAATAAATTAGAAATGCAAATATATATAGTTGTAGGTCTTTACTGAAGATGATTTTTTTTAGAAGTTCTATACTGATGAATCATTCCTTTTGACAGTCTTAAGTAGTCTTCTTCTTAGTTCCTGTGTATACCTGGGACTTGTGAGCCTATATTTCAGGTTTGAGTTCTAGTTGTCAATCATATTTGTGAATCAGATTGTTCAGGGTCCATACAAAAAAGTTCAGAGTTTGCATGTCTGTAAATCAATTTCGTACATGTTCTGCAACTGATTGTTCAAAATACATGCTCTTGTAACTTGAAACTAATAATGTGAATGCTCTTTTAAATACAAATCCATAGCTGGAATTTTTTTTTGCAGATTGGGTGTATTATTCTGTCAATTCTGTATAGGTTAGAATATGTGTGCCTCTTATGCAGATTGGGGTAAATTGCTATGAATGTGCTGAAATATTTGGGAAAATTGCTTATTTAACGTTTTTTTGTCAGTAGTTGTAGTCCAGGTCTACAAAAGCGATGGTGCTATGTTAGCCTAAGTAGCTTTCTAAACTTGAACCAGCCTGGTGATAACCCTGATAACATGGAGGTAAATTCGCCCTTGTGCAACAAATAAGACCTTAACTGTACATATATCTGTTCTAAATGACTAATCTATACCGTTCTTTCAAGGAGGTTAATCCATCGGCCACTGCGCACTCTGGGAATAGTGTCACTTCATCGGGAAGAAGGGCTAGAGGTCCAACCAGGATGCCCTCGGGCATGTACACTATCACAGCAGTAGATGAAGATGGGAATCCTACATCTCCAAAATCGGCACTCACCCCATATTCCAATGCTATAGGTGTCATTGCTCGGGATGACATCCCCATCAAGTACCGACACTGGAAGAAAGCTGATGTAGATGAATTGGAGTGGACGGTACCAAACAGATATAAGGACCTTGCTTGGGAAAGGTTGAAGCGGACATTCCAGTTTCCTGAGGGTTCAGAACAACGCGCAAAGGACAGGGCCCTTCAGAGGATGTCAGTTAGCTTTAAGAAATGGAAGTCGGACCTTGCCAGCAAGTTTATAAGGAAGGGCCTGACACCAAATTTTGAAGACAATAATTATCGAAGGATCCGCCTTTTCTGGGATGACTTTGTGGCCTACAGAGCATCAGAAGAGGCAAAGGAGATTAGTGAAAGGAACCAAGCCAATTCGGCCAAAAATCTGTACCCTCACCGTCTCGGCCCTAGCGGATATGCTAAGAATGTAGACAAATGGCGAGAGAGGGAAGATGAGCTGCTGGAAAAGGGAATCGAGATCGAGACGAAGGATTGGAGCCAACGGGCCAAGAATTACCAATACGCTCGAGGGGCAACACTTTCGGATATAGGTGAGTTGGTACACAAGGGTCCACGAGAGCAAGAAGTGACACAGAGGCTCCACGATGCCCATCAAAAGTCCTCAGAGGGTTCTTTTGTTCCGAACAGGGAGAAAGATGAGCTCACACTTGCATTGCAGAATGATGAGCATCCGGGACGCACAAGAGGAGTAGGCCTAGTTCCATGGAGGGAAGGTTTTACTGAAGACGGACATAGGTACCGGTCTCGGAGATATAAGAATTCCGGAGACCAATCAGAAGAGATAAGGCAACTGAAGGATCAAATGGCACTGATAATGGCGAGGCTCGATAGTCAGGATAGAGGCGATGCTGGCCGTGTAATCAGCCCAGGTGGGAGGAAAAGCAGTTGTGCGTCAACTAAGGTTCCTCAAGAACCGGACATGGCTCGTTACCCTGTGGATGACATCACTGTACGTACTGCATGCAGGCTGCATGTGCCACTTCAAAACATCACTCAAGAGGTGGCACGCGGTATGGCACATCCCGTAATGGAGGGGGGAAAGATACACAGTAATCTGATACCAAGTGGCTACTCAAGGGTCGAAGTGGGGGACGTGCCGAGCAGATACAGGGCAGTCCAGCTTGATTTTGCTCCAGAGAAGGGAATAAACACTCTTGGAGAAGCCGTCCACAACATAATCCTGTGGCGCAAGCGTTTCATTGTCTTCCCTTCAGGAGATAGTGATGATGAGCCAAGCGATGATGGGTCTAGCTCTGAAGGGCTTTCTGTCTCCCCTCGAAGGATGCCAACTCCACCACCATTGCCACGTAAGAGCCAGTCTCCTCCACCGGCACAACGTAAGAGCCCATCTCCTCCACCAGCAGAACACCATAGGCTAGCTTCTTCAGACCCACCGAAAAAAAGGGGGCGCCTATGTAAAACATCCCAGATGTTCGAACCCCCATCTCTGAAGAAGACCAAGAAGGCGCCATTGCCTAACATGTCTGAGCCAACTTTGAAGGAAAAAAAAAAGGAGGCAGCAAACGTAAAAGTGCCAGTTGCAATACAGGACCACTTCATTCGCATGGCAAGACCACCTGCCCCACTAGTACCTATTTCGAACTTCCGACGCACAATCAGGAAAAAGAAATTGCAAGAATTTTCCAAGGAAGAATTTGAGACCAGCAAGACTATGCAAGATTTTCTAGAAGGTGCAAGGCTGAACAGTTTATTTGATGTACGCAATATTGCGAATGCCCCATTGGCAGCTCAGTACAAACTCGGTCATTCTTTGACTACCGATGAATATCGCAACATCGTTGGCAATTGTACTCAGATGAGGAGGGTAGAAGAGTGGTACTTACAGATGGCTAAGGAGGGTAAGGAGATGTTCCCCGTCTTTTACAGGGACGAGGACTTTCATCACTGTGATGGTATATTTTGGGTCCCATTTAAAGAACTATTTCAACTATACAATCTGATGGAGCTAGACTTATCGCTAATTCAATTATGGACATTGTAAGTATACTCGATCCCTCGCTATTTTTTCTAAGTAGATATCCTCGTTGCATGTCTAATTTTTTTCCTTATGCAGAATGGCGGCACTTGAATGTAGAACGACACATGGCAAACTAGGATTCCTCGATCCACAAATAATCAATTCCAGAAATATTGACCAGTTAGGCGATAAGTCTGAACAAGCAGTGGTCGACTATGTGTATGCATCCTTTGTCAACCTGCACGACAAGAATTCCAGAAATATATCGTTGTACTTCCCATTTGTACTTTAAGATGTTAATTGCTCTCCTTTTATGTAGGCCTCACTGGATCCTTCTTGTGATCCATTTAAACGATTCCAAGATTGTTGTCTTCGATGGACTGAGGACCCCACAAGCCAAGTTCCAATCTGTCATTGACACCCTCAATAAGGCACTTGTGAGGTATAAGAAGAAGTGTATTCGACACGCTCCGCGTGCAAATACATTCCGGGTTTGGGCCCACCCTTATTGCTTACGCCAGGATCCGGGCACGAGTACATGTGGGTTCTACCTGATGAGATTTATGTCGATTTTCATGGAGGACAACAACTGGAACATTATGGATGCCAAGGTTCGCCATGCTCTAAGACGTAAATCCAACTTTCTAAACACAGTACATTTTCATATCTTCAATTCTTCCATTTGCAGAAATTAAAGCTCCCGACAAGTAAATTGTTGCCACATGCTTGTTTCGGCCTCGCTGAACAACTCTGTGGATTCATCTTCAATCATATCATCTCGTCAGATGGCGCATACAACATTTCAAAAGCTCCTACTGGGCTAGTGGGTTTCATCGAGGCTGGTTGCCCTAGTGACACTTTAGATAGCCGTTCAACAACCAAGGAGATGTAGGCTTAGAATAAATATTAGTGGGCAGAACGTACCCTTTAAACATTTTCTAAGTATCTTGTAGATTAGTTATCTGGATTGATGTGGTTTTCTTAATGTCTTGAACATGAAATTCACTATGATGGATTTAATCTGTTTATCTATTGCTTCCTTGAACACTTTTCTGTTCTTTGTATTGGGGTTAATTGTAGATGGCATGAAAAATGTATATCCTTTTATATTATCCCTTCGACGATATCGCCCTCCAGCGCCCGCCCGCCAGCGCTGACAACGTTGGTCCATCCATCCCATCAATCCACCACCGCACCGATGAAATTTCCTGATCAATTTTGGCTACGAACATAATGAGCCGATATGAACAGCAGTTTTGTAGTTAATTTGTTCCCTCATATTAACTTATGTGTTTGGAAAGTCATTCACACATATTGGTGGCATGGAAATTTAATAGCTGATGTTAGTATACCTGAAACACTACCTTCTGTATCTTTTTATTAAGTCTTCTTGTATTTTTTGTTAATGAAAGTGGAAGTAGTTTCCTCCCTTCGAAGTATTTTTTTTTCTTTTTGTTTTTGTCCCTGGATGCTTGTGCATATTTATTTTGGTGCTTACCCTTAATGGTAGCTAACTAAGTTCTTGTGCTTCTCAATTGCAGCTATGTTCCTAACCCTGTCCTGGTGATTATTGATGTTCAACCGAAGGAGTTTATTGTGCTATGCTGTGGAGGAGGTTAAAGAGGTTAGCTTGTGATCTAAGAAACTGGAAGTTTATTGTGCTTTTGTCCTGTTATCCTTCATTATTGTACATGTTGTCTTTTACAGAATGCTACTCAGAAAAGTTAAAAGGTGTTTGTTCATGTTCCTTCAGAAATAGCTGCCCACTAGGTTGAGGAAATTGGTATGTCTGTTTCATCTGTTTTTACTAGGAAAAAGGGATGCTATGTGTATTTTGCAAGTTACAGATAATAGTTAGCTCGTTTGAGCAATAAATATATTAAGTTTTTGATGCTAGTGAGGTTTTCCTCACCAAGAAGAAAGAATCTTTTTGTGGTGAAGTCTTTTTCCTTCAGAAAGGATTTTTGACTGATGTATGTTCATCCTACTTATAGGAGTTGAGCACCTTCTGATGGATGTCAAGGACACAACAATAGGCACGCTTGCAACAGAGGTGATATTTCACAAGAATACGCATTTTCAGCCTACAAGTTGCTTTATTATGCCCTAATATATCGTTTATCATTGTTGTCATTAAAGGTAACCAGCAAGCTTGCAGCCTTGAAAGGACTGGACGCGAGGCTCAGAGAGATCCGTAGGTACTTAGATCTTGTAATTTAAGGGCAGCTCGGACTGAATCATGAGATTTTGTACCACTTGCAGGTTCGCCTTCTGCTCATTGCTTTCTGTATGGTATTCTTAGGAGTTACATATACCTCCAATTCTCTTGCATTTGCTATATTAGGAGGTCAGCACTTGAAAGCTATCTCATTTTACCGTCCTTTGGTTTTATGGAATATTTGTGCCTTTGAGATATACCCCTCTATTATTGTGGTGGTTCGGAATTCAGTATCAGTATAAATATCACTCCCAACTCAAATAAAAAATTGATTATTTGTGGAATATGCTGCCACTGGTAGTTTATTGCCTTGTGATGCTTCTGGTAGTTTTCACAATACATTGGACACGGGATATATGAAGAGATCTTTTGTATGGTCAAATCTGTTTTATGTATGGTTGTTATGATTCGTAATGTCCTCTATTTTCATGAGGAACGTGTTTTTTTTCCCTGTAAAAGAATGAATGAATACAGGACGGTACTAATGCGTGGTAATGCTTTACACTAGGTGGAAAATACAACGATATAACTACTTGATATGTCTTGAGCTTTGGTCCCCCCAGTACTTTTTTGATGTGTAAGCTAAGCAACATTGTTTCAGGCCTCTTGTTTCCTAGATGGACAATGTGTAGTACTGCGATATGTTTGGAGATTTTTGGATGTGGGGTGATGTGAATATGTGAATTGATGTTTGGAGATGGATAGCATATATTATGTGAATTGATGTGGGATTTTTGTGTGTATGGTGGATTGATTGAATGGACATACTGTGAACTGGCTACTTTTTTTTTTTTTTGGCTACAAGATTACAGGTGCCAGTTATTAACACCAACCGACACCTATAAGCTTACGAGTGCAGCCCTTACACCATCATTGGTGCTGGTTCTTTATCAAAACCGGTACTTGTAATACCATATAGGTGTCGGTTTGGGAACCGGCACCAATGACACCATCATTTGTGCCAGCTAGTTGGTGTCGGCATCGAAACCGGTACCTATTAGACCTTCGGAACCAGCACTATGACTTCATGTAGTATTGTTATTGTTCGTTGTAACTATGCTGGTAAAGAAAAAGCTGATTAACTCAAAACCCCGTAGTAAGTGACAGTACTCTTGGGTAACATCTTGTTTGCAAATTTATGTGTGGTAAAAACAGCATACCCGCGTACATGTCATCCACCAATCCAATCGCCATGTGCACATTACTGACTGTACTGACAACTGATTTTCTAGTGAACCAGCAAAGATAGCCTTAGAGCAGATACAATAGTAGGCTATAAGCCAGCTATAAACATATTTTAAAGAGATAAAGGAAAAGAGAAGAACAGTGGACTACAGATCTGTAGCCAGCTACAGCACGGACTTTAAGACATAATGTGTGTATGATAGGTGGGACTAAGTATTAATAGTATAGTAAACAACTATTGTATAAATTTAGCTATAGATGATTTGGAGCTAGTAGTGAGCTATACTATTAAACTTGCTCTTATATCACCCGTCGTAATGAGAGGTGAACCATCTTCCATTTTAAATTGGTATGTAGTTTTCAAAACTGAAATTCATTACAGAATGAGAAACTACTGATAATCCCAATGTATGCATAAGATAATATAGATAGAAAAAATAAACCATGTGAACCAACGACCCAACCTTTCCTCATATTCTATTTAAAACCAATTTAGTATTAGATATTACGTTTTCTAGTATGCCTAAATTTGTTGTCCTTTCTAATCCAATATACGTCTAATCCAATATTAGGTTGAGTTTTTTGGACGGGGGACTACGTGTTTCTTTAAAAACTGAAGTTTTATACACACAAAATTTATACAAAATAAAAGGGCGAAAAAACATATATAAAAAGAAAAGAAAAAGGATAGTCCGATTTAATGACGCGAAAAAAAACCCTCCCAGATCGCTGTGTTGCGTTCAATCCGAGTCTGATTCCCCAAACACACACGGAAAAATCGTAAAATCCCCCCAAATCCAATCTCAAGACACACGAGACAAATCCTAAACTCCTCTCCAATAAATCCAATCCAATCTCATGAAAAAAAAAATCCAATCTCGTTGTGGGAAGCCGCCGACGTGGCGTCGCCATCGGATCCACCAGGGGAAGCCATTGACGCCGTCATCGCTGCCGCTCGTGGTGGGGGAGGGCGTCGCCGCCACCGCTGCCGCTCGTGGTGATCTTGAGGGTGGAGAGGGCGCCGTCGCTGCCGCTGCTCACGGTGGGGAGGGCGCCGTCGTTGCTGTCATGGTTTGGGAAGTGCCGCCGGTGCTCGCGGTGAGGCAGCACCCCGCTCGCCCACCGATGTGAGAGAGAGAGGGGAGTGAGTGGAGAAGTAGAGACGGGGAGACGGAGAGAGCCACGAGACAGAAGCGAAGTAGGCAGAAGATTCGAGAGACGGAGAGTTACGACAAGATAAGGTTCGAGTCTTCGAGAGGAGGTGGGGTCACGCTGGTTTTTTTCTCATCCGTGCGGTGCTCCAACATCTATCGGGTAAGGAGAACCGAACGTTGCTAGCGTGGCTAGCCTCGTCAGCAGCGAGCAGGCAGCGCACGCGAGTTCGATCCCTCGGATCGCAACTCGCGTCTCTCACCTGGGTTTTATCCCCAAAATAAATTTTCCAGCTCTCTCGTTGTATTTAAGAGGAGAGCAGTAAAAAAAAATGTATCGGGTAAATAAAATAACCGGTACGTTTTGTTTTGTTTTTTTTTAACAAAACAGCCACGGATAGAATCGGCTCCAATTAATTCCTTGTTTTTTTAAAAAAATATATGTTAATTAATTACTCCCTCCTTCCCTAAATGTTTGACGCTGTTGATTTTTTTAAACATGTTTGTCCATTCGTCTTATTCAAAAACTTTTCTGAAATATGTAAAACTATATGTGTACATATAAGTATATTTAACAATGAATCAAATGATAGGAAAAGAATTAATAATTACTTAAATTTTTTGAATAATACAAACGGTCAAACATGTTTAAAAAAGTCAACGGCGTCAACTATTTAGGGATGGAGATTTAGGGATGGAGGGAGTAATTATCAATGATAGGTAATAAAAAAATTAATTGGCCACTGCAAATACAACGTATTATAAAAATACTATTACTATTCATGAAATCGGGTGGATATGCCACTATAATTTTTCTAAGAATAGAACAATGTATCTGTCACGCCCGGAAATTCACTAGTAATTTCCGAACTAATTTGTGCATAAAATCCTCGTCCAGGAATCAGCCGAGGTACACAAACTGACAATTTAATATACAAATCCATCTTAAAAATAACGTTACATACTTACAAAGAAAAGAAAACAGCAGCGGAATTAACAGTCTAGCGATGGCTTCAGCTCCACTCCCACAGGCAGCTCAACTGGGGTATAAGCCAAACGTCTTCTCCTTCTGGATCCTTTATCTTCAACTGAGGTTTGATTAATTATTGCAAGAATGAGCATATGACATACTCAACAAGCCACACAGCAAATATGCAAGTGCACAAGGACTCCAAAGAATGGCATAATATAGGCTCATTTGCAAAAGCAGCATTTAGCAAAGATTTAAGATAAGTAAAACAGTAGAGTAATTAATCATCAATTTTAATCAACACTGAACAGCACACCCATGCTGCTTAGGCCCAACCAAACCTGAACAACCAACCCCGGTCGTACAGATCAAACCTCCAAACCAGGAGTCAAATTAATTATCACATTATTAACATTTATGAGTAGTGTGAGACTAATCACGAAAAACATTGCTCAACTCGCCCATAACCGCTGGCACGGCTATTCGAATAGTTTTACTCTGGCCAGAGGTGTACCACTATACCCACAAGACACGATTCCACACATGTTGCCATGCCCCGAAATACCACCACGGCATTGCAAAGGGGGAAATCGTGACAATACCCTTCGCACAACACAACTCACCACAGTGCACCATTCCCGGATCATAGTCACCCCCTTATAAACAAGGCATGGACTCCCCAGCGACCCCCACGGACTTCTCGCCGCTTCACAGTCTGGCACACTATAATGAACCATGCTATACAAAAGGTAAAGCCGTTGCCCATGCTGGCTTGTGGTTGGCACGGTAAATGTTTCACAACAGTAGCTCGCGAACCGGTCCTTAATTGTCATGAGCACAACCATCAAAACCATATGCTCACAACCCACCTTAACCAGGTTTTAATTATCAATTAATTAACATCACACGATTTACCAACGTGTGCAACCATCAAATATAACCATAATTAATAAGAATAATATAATATAGTTTATAATTAACCCCTTTAGTTAGCTAATGTTTCTAAGCATAGCTAAGCAAACTTACATATAGCATTTAGCTGAACCAATCCAATATATAAGGTTCATACTAATCAAATTATAACCCATAGAAAAATAAAGTCATCTTCGGCCATTAATTAACGGGGAAAAGGTTCACCACCCGATGACATTCAAAAATAATGCATGGTTGAAATAAAATAATAGCTTTAAACGGGTTCAACATGCTCAAAGGGTTGTTTGGGATCTGTGTGACTTGCCTTGGGCTTCCGCAAACACTTCCGAACCTTGCTCAACGAAAACGCTCTCCTCCGGAACGTCGGAAACTAAAGCAATTAAACAAAAATTAACAAAACAGTACAAAAACAAGCATACACAGTACATGTGGATATTTTTAACATGTAGATCTTGATTTTAGAAAAATTTAGCAACTTGAACCACCTGAAACGGAGCTACAGTTATTTAGTTATGATTTTCCGAAGATTTAATCTATTAGAAAAAAAGGAAAAAAGAAAGGATGATGATGTCATGCTGACATCATCCAAGGCAGCCACAGGTCGGCCGACGACCTCGCCGGCGCTATGGACCTTGGCCGGGCGATTGGAGGGCACCTACGCGTACAGGACGACGAGGCGAACCCAACGGTACTCACCAACGAGCCAAACGACGAACGACGACGGCCGGTGACGAAGAGGCGACGGCGGCGGCTCGGGATAACCGGCGACGGCGAGCTACGGCGGCCGGCGACGAAGGAGAGGTGGCGGCCGAGCTTCTCCACCTCTTGGCGAAACCAACGGTGGCGACGGCAAGCGGCGGCGACGGCGCAAACGGCACGGCGACGCGGCTGTTCGTCGGCCGGCGGCGACGACGGCTTGGACGGCGTGGCGACGGCGCTACGGGGCACGAGAGACCACGGGAGAGGGGGCAAACGAAAGAGGAGGACTAGGGGGTCCTATTTATAGCCTTGGATTGAAGAGATCGGACTCCTCCCGCAAGAAATCGATCCGGGAAAATATAAACTCGGTTTTTGGGGATAAAATCGAAACGAACTCGATTCGGATAAAATACTCAACCTCTTGCTCCGATTCTTGAGGGGAAAGATAGAGGAGGATGAGAGGATAAAAACTCCTCAAACAATCGGAAGAAAAAGGGCCGGATTGGATGCGGATTTGAGGGAGAAAAGGGGCGGCTCGGGCGGCTTGCTTCGCTCGGCCGGCCGGCTGCTAGAGGAAGAAGAAGGGCCCCACATGTCAGTGCCTAGAGAGAAGGGGGCGGGCGGCTCGGCTTGAGCCGACTCGGGCCGGTTTTGGGCCGGCTCGGCCGTGCGGGAGAGAGGGAGTGTTGGGCCGAATTCGGCCCAATGACTTAAGGGAGGGCTTTTGGAACTTTTTTTTCAATTAAAATAATCACTGAAATGATGTTTGAATTGTTAAAAATACTTCCAATGCTCAAATAATTTCAAGAAAAATCCTGAAAATACTTGGACACTCAAAGTACTTAACAAAATTATAATCAGACCATTTAATGATTAATTTAATATGTGGGTAATTACTGAAATGCTCTTTGTAAGATTAAAAAATTAGGAATTGAGCTCCGAAAAATCCGAGAATATTCCAGAGAGTATAATTAACCATGGAGAATTTAATAAAAATTAAATCCATCCATGCTTTATATTTAGGAAATTTTATTTCCCACAATTAACTTCACTTGTAAATTAATGAACATTTAATATAAATTCTATTAATAATTTATTAAATAATTTATAAATCCTGAAACGAAAATCAGGGTGTGACAAATCTACCCCCCTTACAAAGAATCTCGTCCCGAGATTCGGAACGGCTAGAAAGAAAAAGGGCATAGGTAAACTGCAGTCTATCTTATTCCATAACTCCGATAATTATTCTAAGGCTCTAAAGAAAACTACTGCTGCTTTGAAACTGGTGGCTGAGCTATAACACTTGAAGACGCAACTCTTGAAGACGCAACTGGCACTGCATTGGCTCCTGTGACAACAATGTTGTTGATCTGACCTTGCGGCTGCTGATGCTTCGGCTTCGGACACTCTCTTGCAAAGTGACGTGGCTTGTAACATTTGAAACACACCCGCTGCTCCCTTCCATTACTGTTATCTTCTTGGGGCTGATCCTGCTGAAATGACACTGATTGAGTAGCTTGCTCATCATTGTCTTCATTGCTTGCATTAGTCTCTGAGTCGATCTCACCACTGATGCCCAACTGTTGTGACTGTTCTTGACCTGCAGAAAAAGATTCACCAAGTTGGAGTAGCTTGATACGCTGCCTCTGGCTACTATCCTGTGCCTCCTGGAAAACAATCCTTCCTCTCTTACGATTGTCCATCCTGTTCTTCTTGTCTTCCAGTCGAATTGCTTTATCAACCAACTCCTGAAAATCCTCATAGTCATGAGAGATCAACATAACTGACAGCTCATCCTTTAAGCCTTCCAAAAACTTCTCCTGCCTTTCCTCGTCAGTATGCACATCTTCTGGAGCATAGCGAGCTAGACGATTGAACTCATGAAGATATTCCGTCACGGTACGACCCTTTTGCTTCAAAGCCCTAAACTCACGCTTCTTCAAAGCAACAACTCCTACAGGTATGTGTGTCTTCTTGAATGCTTCGGTGAACTCCGCCCAAGTGATTGGTTGTCCTTCTGCTCTGTTCATCCGGAAATGATCCCACCATTCTGAAGCAGACCCTTGCAACTGATGTGAAGCGAAAACAACTTTCTCCTGATCCGTGCACTGGAGCAATTCCAACTTCTTCTCAACAGCGTGCAACCAATCACCTGCTTCCACTGGGTTGGTAGTGCTAGAGAAGGTAGGGGGTCTCACACGTAAGAAATCTGCCAGCTTGTTTTGGGGAGGTGGGGGTGGATTCTGGTTCTGATTGTTTGCCTGCTGATTCTGTGCCTGCTGCACTAACAGATTGATCAGTTGTGTTTGTTGGGCCAGAATCTGAGCTAGCGTGGGATCTCCTCCATTGTTAGCAGCTCCACTTCCACTTCCACTTCCACTTCCGGTGCGCGTGTTCACCATCTGTTGCA